GTGTGCTTTCTCTCTTCTCTGTCTTCTGCATGGCTTGCCTGGCTGTTGCCATAAGGCCTTTACTTGGTTCTCTGCTTCCAGTTCATCCTCCATTGTGTGTGTGGTTTTGCCCAGACACAGATCCGAATGCAGTTCCTCATCCTTTCCCCCTCTCCCTCCCACATTGGCTCACACACTTCTCATTACATCTTGCCTTTCCTGGCAGTCTGGGCTGAAACATGGCCTCACACTGGCGTGTGGATGGACCCAGATAAACTCGGCTTCCTTTAGAAATCAGTGATACTCAAGGTTTGATACTGAGTAGCCTGTCCACACCGCACAGGATACCTATTTGCTAAAGGGAAGAGATAGAGATGTACATCAATAATGAAAAAAAAAATTATTCCCCCAAGAGAATCCATGAAAATAATTCTCAAAAACTGTTAGTTTATATAACATTTTTTTTTACTTTACTTTTATTTTTCTTGCGTACAGATGTAATACAAGAACACTAAAAAATGCAAGTTCAGAAAAACCCACTGTGGACAACATTCCTTGTGATGGGGGTTCCTGAGATGATCAGGGTTAATAGGTGTATTTTCAAGGCTCGCCACCCTTCAAATGGTGTCATTTTACGTAATGCTCTGCAACTTGCTGTTGTCGTTCTCTTTGTATTGCACTCTCATCGGTGCAGTGGTTCTGTTTGATGACTTTTTCATATTCCATCAGGCAGAGATATGGTAATCTGAGAAACTAGGTGTTGAAACAGCAAGTCTATTAGAGCAAACAGAGAGGGATGCAGGAAGTCAACCTTTCCTGTTTCTCTGTGCCTTTGTTGTCTTTGAAAACATACACGAGCACTAGGTCAGTTTATTCTACAGTTCAACAATTTTGTACATACAATTCAGTGACATTGATTCACCCCCTCACTTGCTGGTCTGCCTTGTCTCAAAGTCTTTTTCCCTACACAAGGAAGAGGTGAGTCTCTCTTTTTCTGCCTCTGTCACCTAACCCCCAAGTTGGACAAAGATATTAAATGTTTGATAGAATCTAATCAATGTAAAGTGGACACAGGCCTCAGTTGAGGCTGTGATAGTTCATCCTCATGATACAGTAAGGAAGGTGTTTAAATTATCTGAGAAGAAACTGGCCATAGGCCCTGGGTGTGTGTGGGGTGGGAGGTGGGGGTCTGATTCATTAGCTGCTTTCTCCAGATGCAGCTGACCAAGTAGCAGGCTAATTAAGTTCAGGTCGTTGGAAAAGTCTTGGGGAACAAATATTAGGGAGTCATCAGTGGTTGGTGGATGAGGTCACCCAGGGTGTCAGAGGAGAGTCCCAAAAAGGAGGCTGGGGAGCCCCACCACTGAAGGAGTTATGTGGAGAAGGGAAAATGCTAACCAAGTCAGAGGGAGGAAGGTACCAGAAGTCCAGACAGGGAGGCATATCAAGTCACAGGTAACCAAAGGATAGGGTTTTCATAGGGTTTTCAATGACACTTGGATTTGTAAATCAGTGGGGTCATTGGTGACCTGTGTCTGTTCATTGTATGTATTAAGTGCCGTTGAGTCAGTTCCGACCCACAGCGATCCTGTAAAATTTGAGAAGCTGGTGGGTTTGAACTGCCAACTTTGTAGTTAAAACTGACCTTGTGATCCAGTGCATTATCCTGCAGAGTGACATCAGGACTCACTTTATGCGTAGTGGTAGAAAAGCTAGTGTAGTGGTTAAAGAATGAGATACAGCATTTGATACTTTCAAATTTGCTTCTAGAAGTGTGCAAAATTGAGGAAGCCTATTTGAAATCACAAGATCTGAGAACACAGCACAATGAGTTTTGTCTATCTGGTCTCAGTAGTGGAGGGTACAAGATCCAGGATGAGGGCTTCCCATCAGATGACCCCAGCCATCAACATTAAGTAGGAGGCAAGGTCCTCTACTAAGGAGGGATTAAGATGGGGCCAAACCTTAAGAAGTGAGTGGGAAGAACTGACCAATCACTGGCAGTCATGGTCTGAGCAGAATGGAACTGTCCATTTGAATTGTTCCCCAAGGTTAGCAGGGGCAGTGCCATAAAAAGGTAAGAACTGGAAGGATCCTCAAAGAGGTTGGGAAGGTGTGAAGCCAAGAGAGGAGGTCTGAGAAAAGGGTGAAGGACTTGAAAGCTTGATGATAGGGAAAACAATATTCACTCAACCAACATTTATTAAGGATTTATTGAGTGCCTGTTACTCACCAGACACTGGGAATAAAACAGTCATGAACAAAACAAGACACAGGCTTCTGCCCTCAAGGAGCTCACAGACTTGATAAAAAGTTTTAAAGAAAGGGGGCTTTGTTCAGGGAGCGGGGTAAACAATCTCCCTGAGTCACTTGGAAATGTTGGTGGGATGACCAGGTTGGAGGATAGTAAGTTTTTACATCCAGGCGGCAGTGAAGCAAAGCATTGAGCTAGGTCAGCAAGTTCAGGAGGAATTATTGCTGTTATGTGCCATGGACAAGGTCATTGGATTCTACCACCTGTCCATCTCCCCTGGTTATTCCCAGAAATTTGATGACTAAAGATGGAAACAAAAGAAATGAGGGTGGCCAAGTGGGCCATTCCTCCATCTAGTCCGTGTGCCACTGAGTGTCATTCTTGTCAACACCTGCCTGTCTGCCACAACTGCCTGTTGACAGATTTGGATGGGATCCTGGAATCCTGTTCTATTCACTCATCCTACTTGTCCAGTGTTTTTAGAGACATTAGATGAGTCTGATGCTTGGTTATAATCAGTGTCCTACTGGCACCTGTGGTTAAAATGGCCCTCTCTCACATATTTACTTCAACTTTTCTGCAGTTTATAGATTCAGTCTTTCGGTGAATACATCTCACTATTAAGCCGCTAGAATGGAACGATTTGGGAGTCAGGGAATAACTAACAATGCTGCTGTTAAGTGCCATTGAGTCAGTTCTATCTCAGCGACCCTGGATAGGGTTTTTGAGGAGCGGCTGGTGAGTCTGAACCGCTGAGCTTGAGGTCCAGTGCTTACCCTATAGTGCCACACCAGGATTCCAACTTATGATACTGATTGGGAAATAAAAACTTAGTAAATACATTAGATTCTGCCACCATGAATCATTTAGAGAAAGCCTGAGTCTGGAAAATCCAATGTAACTCAAGAAAGAAAAACTATCATATAACTGCTTACATATAGGTTAGAGCATGAAGAAACACATGTGGTATTAAACATCCTACCATTTTGCTCACTGGGAGTCCTAGTGTGGTGCTGTAGGATAAGCACTGTATTGCTAACCGCAAGGACGGCAATTAAAATCCACCAGCCATTCCTTGGAAGCCCCATACAGGGTGGCTATGAATAACGGACTCACCAACACTTATCAAAAGTATATATTAAAAAACAACTTAATAATCACAAAATACGTTGACTAGTCCAACAAATGATTTTCAGTGTATTCAGCCATGTAATTAAGTACATTAACTTCTTTCATCTTGATAAACCTGTCCCCCCACCCCCATCTTTGGTAGAGAAAAACATACCAGGCTAAGTGTTTGATTTAGAACTCAATTCTGATCTTATAGTTTCCAAGACTGTCTTTATGGGAGCACACCACCTCATCTTTGCCCCTCGGAGGGACTGGTGGGTTTGAAAAACAGGACTTGCAATCAGTAGCCCAACACCTATATGATGAGCTCTGATAGCCTCCATGCAATGGAAGCTTCCATTACGTGGCCATTTATGGACAGGGTGATGACATGACGCTCTGCAGTAAAAACTAGCACTAGCACCAGAGGGTTCACATGTTCAACAGATTTCCCATCCACAAAGCCTTACCTCAGCCCCAGACAGTTTGCTCAACTGAGCTTTACTTTGGTTGAAGCTTTTCATTCTTGATAGAATTGACTCTTTCTTCACCCATATTCACATCTGGAGTAACTTATTTACACATTCTATTTATCTGAAAAGGTATGGACTACCAGTCAATTTTCAGGCAGTGCTCCTACAACCTCATAAGAAGTCATCCACCAAACGTTTAAGAGAAGTGCTAAATTCCATCTTCAAACATTTGGATGAAGTAGCGGCTGCAAGTATATTGGATGTAGGTTTGCAAGTATAATAGCTGTTTCTACAGTAAAGCTTCAACTCTCCATATGAGTAATATTTTCGGAAAATGGTAATTGCCAACCTGGTATGAAAATCTGTATGTCACAAATGTTAAAGCAAAACAAGGAGAGGCAGGTATGTGTTGGTGGGGTAGGGGCTCGGGGTATAAGCCAGAGAATATGGTCAATGGTGGGAGAATGTCCTCAAAACTATGAAAAATTAAATAAACAGTATCAACAGGAACTAGTTCATGCAACTAACACACATTGCCATGTCTTCTTTTACAGGCCTCTGTGGAGATCCCTGGATTACAATTTAATAACCAGGATTATTTTCCTTATGTCTACTTCCATATTGACCTCAGCCTCCTTGACTAGAAAGGTCAGCTGGCACGGAGCTGACACATCTATGCAAACTGCTGCAGAGGCTTCTGCTCTTAGAGGCTCATTTAAACGTCCTGTGTAATTTAGGTGTTCAGAGAAGCTGCTCGCAAAGTTAGGTACAGTTGTATTTATTTTTTTTAAGTAACAATAAAGAAATGCTCTCAATCCTTTGAATTTTCTCTTCATATAATTCTAACAGAATTCAGTGTTTATTGTTTAGCTTTTTTGCTTTACATAAATGTGGACTACCTGTAAATTGGTAAACTGCTGCTCTATTTCATGTCTTAATGAATGTTTTTTCAATTTGGTAAGAATATAAAAGATACAACATCGGACATGAAATGCAATTTGAAATTTTAGAATGCATAAAACCTATATTGTGGCAGGTATTCAGATGACGTCATCTGAATCACAAGCTCTTTTTTTTCTTTTTAAAAAAGGTTGTAAGGATGAAAGTCATTGGAAACATCACTTCATTATATTAATTTACGGGTTAAGTATGAGACTTGGACACTCAATTTCATAAATTTATCAGCATTGTCTAAAATATTCATTAATGGAAAATCCATTAATATTCAAATTAAGGGATCACATTAAAAAACACATATAGGAAACTGCCTCACAGAACATTCAAGCAGCAGTTAAGAGGGACAGAAAAAAATATTTCAACAAACCATCAGTTTTCTTCAAAATATTATTTGACAGAATACAATCCAATTCACTGGCTACAACAATTCATAGAATTTTTCAATGTTTTCTTGAGATGCAAAAATTCACGGCTGCAGTGTTTTCAAATGACCAATCAAGTGATACTTCTTGGTTAAAAAGGCCACTGGTAGATTCATCTGAATGTTCCTTCACTGCTGGAAGAATCCGCTCCCAAGAATGAAAACGGCATTTAATGCTGTGCGTCTCACAGCTCATCTTTCCCCAGGTCATCAAGCTCCACATCACTGAGATCAATGTAATCATCTTCCACAGGAAGCTGCAAGACAGACAGAAGTGCCACAAACCACCATCAACATGCATAGCAGATCTAACCAGAATTCCATATATGGGGAGGAATCCTGAAAGTTCAACTTTGCCTGTTATAAGAGGGGCCTTTCAAAAAGTTCCTGGAAAAATTTCATAGTTTTTTAATTCCACGACTTTTTGACGCCTACTCATATTGACAGAAAAGCTGGGAATTCAAATGAAAAGTTATTTTAATATAGCACCATACTAATATAAGTCATGTGAATTGTCCTTTTAAGGGAGCCTCTCTAAGACAAAAGTGTAAATGAATCCAAGTTAGCTGTTTAGGGGTGTGACAAATAGAGTACTTATTATTGGAATGAAGTACACACCTTGGTATCTGTCAAGAATATTTAATGCCCACATATAAAAGGTCAGAGTGGATGGCTTGAGAGAATGTTAAGAAAGGTTCATGGTGACATTCTGGCATGTCAGACTCTGGGTTTTGAGAAAATGGAACTGATTTTACAAATAGCAAAAATGCACATGAATTTGGGAAGAAAAAAGGCAAAAACAAGCCTTTACACACTTGACTCACCTCACCATCCTTGCCATCCCAAGGTTCTATTGTACTTATTTTAGGGAAAGCCCCACCTCCTACAGGTGCTGTAGAGCCACGCCCAAAAGAGAGCTCCCTAGGGGGGAAAAAGTAAAGCAAGTACATCAGTTTCAGTGAATGCAGAGGAGAAAGCAAGTGGAAAATTAATGATTTGCCTACAATGTGTAAGTAAAAGTATTTCTTACCTCTTGGTTCACTGTATTCCTGAAAACAGACCTCATGAACACTATTATACTTTTAAACAGGGTCAGTAATATAACCAAGTGTGACTTATATATTATTTCAGGACTTGGCCCAGATAAAGCTAGTTACTATCAGTAATTTTTAAAACTAGCAAAATTATTTTTCTAAAACAAAAATTAAAAATTCCAGAGATTATATGGTGGTGGTTATGTGTCACGGAGTCAGTCAATTGCGACCCACAGCAACCCTGTACAGGGTTTCCAAGACTAAATCTTTACGGGAGCAGAAAGCCTCATCTTCTTCCCACAGAATAACTGGTAGTTTCAAACTGCTGACCTTGAGGTTAGCAGGCTGACTTGTAACCATTACGCCACCAATATGGATATATTTGATTAACAAAATCCTTAGTGAACTTATGACCCAGAAAGTTTCTGAAATTTGTGTCTCTTAAAAATGAATCCCTTTCCTCTGATTTTAAGCAGAAAGCATATGAGATCAGCCCAGAAACCAGCGCATGACTCATAGTATTATCAAAGGCCCTGTCAGTAATCTCAAATTTTAAACTGAAGTATGAGCTCTGGTGGTGTAGTGGTTACAAATTGGGATGCTAACCTCAAGGTCAGCAGTTCGAAACTACCAGCTGGTCCACAGGAGAAAGATGACGTTTTCTGCTCCCATAAAGATTTACAGCCTTGGAAGCCTTGTGCAGGGTAGCTATGAGTCGGAACCGACTCCACGGTACTTAACAACAACAATATGAGCTTAAGTAAAAAAATATTTTTACTAGGATTCCAGTTCATACATGTATATTCCAAACAAATGCACTTAACAGATGTCTGATTAGTGAATGGCTGCAGATAAGTTTTCAGTAACATACTTGTCTTAGTCTCATGAGTGTCTCTTCAAAAAACAATTCAATCAAAACTGTGGCTTCTGAGGGGATCTGTGGGTCAGTTAAATTCAAGGCAAAGAGGTCAACTCAAAAGGTTATAGTGACTGTTTTTTGGGGGACCCCCAAGGGATAGATTTTCTCAAAGGACACAGGATGATCATGGGGTCATATTATGAAAAATTTTTAGGAAAATGGAAAGTTGCATTAGTGAGAAAAATGCCAAGAAAAGTTGAATCAAGAATTTTTTTTTCCATCATGATACACCCACTTAATCGTTGAGGGTAGCAAGGATTGTCCTACAAAAATTTTGTTGGGAAACTTTACTGTCTGATCTTGCTTCTTCAGATTTCATTTTGTTCCCCAATTTCAGAGAACACTGAAAAGGGACACAATTTTAAGTCCCCTGAGGATGCCAAAAAAACTGCCATTTTGATATGGTTTAAAACCTGGTATGGCGCTGTAGGATAAGCTCACATATATACAGTGTTGCTGAGTTAAAACTGACTCAACAGTATTTTAACAACAAATCCAAGCAAGCAGACCTCATTGAAGGGCTAAAGAGATAGAAACATAACCTTCAGAAGTGTACAGAGCTGGATGAAGATCTATAGAGAAACAGCTTCACATTTTGATAGTTTTGTTTAATCGAGGTTTCTCTGATTTTTTAGCAATTGTATTTGACTTGCCCTCATATACCAAGGAATAGCATGTTAACATGTTATTAAAAAACACTTCACTCGGAAGATGTAAAGAGGTTGTGAGATTATGAGCAGAGACTTCTTTCAAAGGGGACTTGCCACCCCCTTGGTACACAGGGTTAACAGGGATGGGTAACTTAGACATTGGCTACCCAAAATGGGGGGAGGACTACAGAGGCATGCTTTCAAGAGGGAGCATAGTTTCAGAAGGTGCGGGGAAAGGTAGAATCTCCACTGAGTGGTTTCCAACCTGTTTGGATGGGGTTGATGAAAGGAGATGGGGATAAACTCTTGTGGTTCAATAGTGAATAACTGCTATCAGGACTGACAGTGAGTGTTGCAAATGTACAGGTAGACGTTTTATAACAAAAAGAGAATGGTTGATCTTGCAGTCCAGGAAAGGAGTACCCTGGGACTATCAAGGGAGAAGAGCAGAGTATGGGACCCTATCCAGAGAGCAGTGATGCCGGAGATGGAGGCAGAGACGATGACATGGAGAGATGGAGCGGCTAGGGACTCTGGACTCAGCGAGAGAGAGGGTCTGTGTGCTGATGGCCGGGGGGGGCAGGCTTGTGGGGTGTACCCTTTGGTTGTTTGAATGATTATGTATTCCTGAGTGCTTTGGTGTGCATCCAAAAAAAAAAAAAAAAAAAAAACAATGGAGACAAATGCTGTTGGATGATGGTGCATGGAGGGGATTGAAATCATTGCAATAAAACGAAATACAATAGGATGAATTTAAAGCTGATATACTCCCATGTAAATTATCACTCAATTCACAATAAAAACTTTAACCAATCCAAAATGTCAACAGTACCAAGAAGCCCTGATGTACACATCACAGTTACATTCAGAAAATAGGATTAAAAATATGCTCTAGAAACCCACTCTACCACCACAGAACAGGACCCTGAGTAACATACAGGTGGTATATGAGTATGTAGTATAGAAAAAGGTATTCAGTATAGAATATATGGTACTGGAGGCAGTTCTCCGAAAGTCTATGCCAGAATTCATCAACTTCAGGGGACAAGGAAATCCTAGTTTACACAGAAACTCTTATCTATGAGAATAAAAAGAAAGCCAGTGGTTCTCCTCTTAGTTTGATGTCTTCCATCAGATTATTTGTTATCTGTTAGTATTAACCTCTTCATCTATAAAATGCAGAGATGTATGTGCTGTTGGACATTTGCTGGATGGGGTTGGTACCTCCTATTTTATGTTAGCAACAAGAGTAAACAGATGCCAAACCCTCTGTCAAGCAGGAATAATATACACTGAAGGGTTTATGACTTCACAGAATTTGCAAGTATTTCAATACTTCTGTAAATGATGTCCCTTCCCTCTCTCACTATTCTCTTTTTCACAAAAACTGAATAGCCATCAACTGATACACAATCCAAGTGTTTTCTTCACTTCTCGTATACAATTCTATACTTGTGTTTATACTCGTAGGTGCCATCAAGTCAATTCCAACTTACAGCAACTCTGTATAGGGTTTTTGAGGAGCAGCTGGTAGACTTGAAATGCTGACCTTAGGTTCACAGTCCTGAGCTGATCTTACAACACTTGAAATGATGAGTTACTGTACTTGTCTGAAAGACTGACGGTTTGAGTCCACCCACAGTGCCTCGTAAGAAAGGGCTGGCGACAATCTGCTTCCAATCAAATCAGCCACTGAAAACCCTCGGAAGCAGTTTACTCTAACACACATGGGATTACCATGAGTCAGAATGGACTTGTTGCCATGAGTAGAAATGGTCTCAAAAGCAACTGGTAAATGTTAATATAGCTTACAATTAAATTCTCAAGAAGCCTATCTGATCCTTTTTCAGAAGAATGCAGGAATCAATTATGTTGTTTTGGGCTGATCATAGTTTTCAACTGTTGCCACTATATTCATAAAATCTTAGTTTAGCACCATCGTTATTAACTTAATTCTTATGGGTTGCTTATGCAGCATTTTGGCACTAATATTTTTAGTTCAAAATCCAGCTTAAGACACATATGTGTATATATTTTTTGTTGTTGTTAAGTGCCATTGAGTTGGTAGCAACTCACAGGGACCCTGTGCACAACAAAATGAAGCACTGCCCTGTCCTGCAACATTTTAAGTACTAATAATTGCTGCCTCTCATTGCTAAAACATGCTCCTTATTTCTCTGCCAGTTCCAACCCAAGGCTGTCAGAACTAGCCAACTTCACTGGTGATGTGCTGCATACAAGTTGACATCATTTTGATAGGAAATAAAAATTCCTATGTAGCTAAGAACTAGTTTACTGTGATGTATTTTTTTTTCCTTCCAATTTATTACCTCATACTTAACACTGGTAACTTGGTAGGGTCTTTATTACTTTCTAAGACACAAAGTTTGAGAACCACTTAGCTTGTGTACTGGCCTCAAGCACAAAAGTAATTGTCTCAAATTTATGACACGCTATTGTTCCTGTAACTTTCCTAAAAGCATTTACCTCACCTATACTTAAATAAAAAAAAACTAGAAAATGAAAAATAGCTGGAAATACAAAACTTAAAACTGGGGTTAAAATGTATTAATTCCAAATTAAGTTAGTCCAAAAGTTCAATCCTATTGTTATTTGCTACTCCTATATAATTGCCTAAGGTTTTCAACACGGAATTAAAACTAAGAAAGGATAAAGTGCATTGTAAGCATAGTCTTCATGTCAATGTATCATGTCCTATTACCCAGTAAGATCCCTAAGGGCAAGCAAGGATCTCTTTCCTGATCTTAGTTAACTACTCCACACACAAGACGTTACTTATTCATAATATATTTGCCATAAGAACTTACTATTTACTTGCCAGGCTCTATATTAGCGACTAGAGGTAAAGTTTTGTGTAAAACAGATTCATAGCTTGTGGAACTCACAGTTGTGGGGAAGATAACTACACAAATGAAGATACAACTGACTACAACTTGGTCTGATCTGAAAGGGGGACGAGAACAGAGTGGTGGTGGTTAGGGAAGGCATGGCAGAAGAATTACAATAAATGCATACAAGACCCTGATGTAGAAAGGAGCAAGGCAGACAGAATTTTTAAAAAGTTCAAGTAGTAAAGAGGTTTCTAAAATTAGTTTATATAAATTAATTCTCTGTATACACAATACTTTTATCTACTAGGTAGGAATGTTTGCGGAGTCCTGGTGAGGCACTGTATGGTAAGCACTAGACTGCTAAACTCAAGTTGGTGGCTTAAACCCACCAGCTACTCCTTGGAAATCCTATGCAGGGTCACTAGGAGTTGGAACCAACTTGATGGCACTTAACATTACCACCAAAACAGGGCACATTTATTTATCATAAATGGATTCATCCCTTTAAGATATGCTAGGACTCACTTTTCAGAGCTTTGATCAGGTCAGCTGGCTTTAATTATTGCCACCAAAGTGCTATCAGAATGGACCTGAGTTTTTCATTGAAACAGGAAAAATTATGGGTCAAAGCCCTGCCAGACACATAATCTCCCTTTTAGAAAACAAAGGCAGCTTGTATGTTGAATAGCAACCAAATCTTTTGACAGCTGACTGGGAAATAATGGTGCTGGATCAAAAAATGGCACATTCTGAATGTGTGTTGTTCTCCAGAGTCCTGGCACTAGTCCAGGGTCATGTACCAGGCTCCTGGAATGGTCTACCACATCTCTTCTGAGTCTCTCCATTCTAGGATTTTGACCACTTCATTTTCCCTATTCTAGATCACTCAAATAAAAAAAAACTCAGGTATCAAGCCCTGGTGTGTTTCTGAGGCACCAAGAAGTCAACAATTGGGTGTCACATTACCAGGGCTTATACTAGTGTGGCGCTGTGAGTTAATGCATTGGACTTCATAGTTGCTTTTAACTGTAAAGTCAGCGGTTCAAGCTCACCAGATGCTCCTTGGGAACCCTATACAGGGTCGTTATGGGTCAGAATTGATGCAACGGCACTTCAACAACAACAATACAGCCACTTATTTGAAAACAAAAACTAAAAAAACTCTTAAGTTTATAAAAAAATCTGTTTCTAGTTGGCAAAGGACAAGATAATCAAATTCTTGATTAGAAAAAAAACAGACGCTACATGAAATTTACCTGTATCCAAACTCTAAATATTTAGAATTTATAAAGAAATTAGTAGAACTCAACAACAATTATAAACTTAAGCAGTCCCCCATACTTACTTATAAAATCATATCACTAAGCATATTTGTTGTTAAATGCCATCAAGTCGGTTTTGGCTCATAACTACCCTGTACAGGGTTTCCAAGGAGCAACCAATGAGTTTGAACTGCTGACTCTGTGGTTCAAACTGACTTTGCAGTCCAGTGCTTTATTCCTACAGTTCCACACCAGGACTCCTTAAAGACTCCATTAAGTACATTAACCAATGACAAATTGAAAACTGAATCAAACAAAGCATAAAAATATGAGATGATACAGTAAACTAGTACTCGGTCCCTTACTGACGTCATTTCGGTACAATAATGGTACTGTGATTATGTCTTAAAAGTTACCTTTGTGAGAGAGACATACACTGAAACACTTTCAAAGAAATGAAATGGGATTTGCTTTGAAACGCTGGTGGGAAGAGGGCAGATGAAGTAAGGCTAACAAAGTTGGTAATTTCAGAAGCTGAAATTGATGAGTACAAGGATCCTTTATGCTAGTCTCTGCTTCTGTATATGCCTGACAGTTTTCATGATAGTATTAAAAAGAAAAATATCTAATGAAAAGAAGACATATTATTTTGGGTTCCAATTAATTAAAAAGATACTCTAAAACTTAAGAGTTGGAGGATTTACAACAGATGTGTGCTTCAATATAATGGCAGTGGTGATGGTGTGCCGTGGAGTTGGTGCCGACTCATAGTGACCCTGGCATAGGGTTTCAAAGGCTATAAATCTTTATGAGAGCTGAAAACCTCATCTTAATCCCACCTTCCCTAAATTATTATTGAATCATGGTACAATTTATAATCTCTATTGCCTTAAAAATAGCTAACACTAAAGTTTTTATTCTATTCTAGAACAACATTAAGCTTTTCCTAGCGATTTCTTTCTTTCAGTTGTTCCATACTGAAGTGCTGTTACTATCCCAAAGAAACAATAGGGAAATTGAGGTACAGAAGTCAAATAGCTCCTTGTACAATGATTGCATTGTATTGCTTGTGCAAATAGGGCTTGTACACAGGCAGAGAAGTTTAACAAACTGCCCTCTCCATCAGTCTGCCAGGCCTTCTATTTTGGCTCATCTAACTAGAAAGATGAGGCTTTCTGCTCCCGTAAAGATTTGCAGCCTCAGAAACCCTATACAGGGTCGCTATGAGTCAGAACAGAACACCATCACCACCAATTAATTCTGTATCTATATGACAGTGTAGAACTTGCCCATAAAGCTCCCAGGTTGGAAACCTTACGCAAGCCAACTGTCACATCTTTTCTCCCATGAGCCAACCAGCAAGCTTTCAGTTGGCAGCCATGTGCCACCAGGGCCCCTTCAAGGACAGCTTACAGGAGACAAAACTAAGTACTCTGTATAGTCCCCAAACTCTTCTGCTGATATAGCTGGTAGAAGTGGTGTACAGACTTTTAAAACATTATTGCCACTATTTACGATTCTTGATGAGCCTCTACAGTACCTTTGTATGCTGAATAAGTTTCATAAATCAGCTGATAAGTAAAAACTGAAAACAAAAACTCTGTCGGTCAATGTTCTGTATTTATCTAAAAGGTGATTATATCAGGTTTTAGGGTGAGGTAAATAAATATAGGGCCCTAACAGTCCTGATGTGGCACTGCAGTATAAGCACTAGACTGCTAACTGCAAAGCTGGTGGTTCAAATCCACCAGTTACTCCTCAGAAACTCTATGTAGAACTTAACAGCAACAAATAAAGATCTCTATAAACAACTTTTTGAATCTCAGAACCTGTCACATACATTGTTGGTACACTGTTGGGTCATTTTAAGTATACACACTCATTTCATATAACTACATTCCAAAGCCATATGCCCACAACCAGAAACCATTATCACCCAAAGCCAGGAGTACAGAGCATGCTTAGGTAAGAATAAGTTAGATAAGGCTGCCTCTATCCTGTCTGAGATTTTTACAAGAAAAGGCACCCCTTTCTGTAACACGGGACCCTATAACAGGTGCACAGCATGGAAGGTAAGGTGGCCTGAGGGTAGGAAATACAAATAGCACTCAGTATGTGGACTATTCTGGGAAAAGAAAAATGATTTAAAAGGTCAAATTTTTAACTATCAAATTCTCGAATTTCAAAAATGCAGAATAGAATAACATTTATTGTCTGGTCTATATAAACTAGTATATAGGTCTGATTTGGCACTGTAGCATACAATGGACCGCAAACCATAAGGTTTGCAGTTCAAACCATCCAGCTGCTCCTCAGAAACCCTATACAGGGTTCACTATGAGTTGGAACCGACTTGACAGCGATTAACAATAAGCAACATATAAATCTAACTTCCAATTAAAAACCACAAGGGAACCAAACAAACAAGACAAAACCAAAACCCTCCCTGATGAAGAAAATAAAATAAAAATTTTAAAGCACAAGAAAACAAAGAATTACCTGAGAAACTCATTAATGCCTTGTTCACTGAAAGATCCCTTTAAAAGAGCAAATTTCATCTTGCGGGCATTAATAGCTGCCATTGCAGGGTATCCAAATCCTCCAATCCCCAGAGCATTCTCAAGTTCAGACTGGGTTCCAGCTTCTGCCCACAGCCACCTAAGAAAGCAAACTGGATTTTAGGGCAAAGATCCCTTTCAAATCAGTTAGAATCTAGTTAATCTTAATTAAAGAACAAAAGATTGCACTTCAAATATTTTGTGGAATGAAATAGGTTTAGAATAAATCAAAACAAAGGATGAATGTTTAAATGTGTTCTAGCTGTGCTTTTAAGAAATTAGTTCCTCTTTTGTTTGCTGGAAGTCTCCAGAACGAAGTAGTCTATCTCTAAGACAGTTTTGGCCTATCTATGAGACAGGTTTGCCCAGCCCCTGCATACCACTAAACATTACAGTTTCCCTTTCTTTGGTACCTGAAATCCCACCAATACCATTTGAATTACTTTGCATACTCTTCAAAATGTACAATAGTTTCTTTTAAAAAAAAATAATAAAATGTGTAGTAATTTCTTAAAAAAAAAAAAATAGTTATGGACATGTTATTACCCAATTCTACAAAAATGCCCAAAAAAACTATTGGTGAGCATTTTACAATTAATACGAATTTTAAAATGGTGCATTTTGTAGGCATATTTATTAGGCAAATTCATCTGTTCCACAAATGAAGGAGGAACAAAGTCATTGTGAGAGGGACAAGTGGAGACACCGGAAAAGCAACTCTCAGATAGAGAGGACAAGATGAATGAAAAAGAAATGAACTTTGTTTTTAAAATTTGCCAAGACCCACCGTTCAGTCTTCATATAGTCTTCAGGGCTCTATTAGAAGTCAGCTATATTATTAATTAAGGTTTTGCTTGTTAGCCTGGGGCCCCAACCACCATTTAAAATATGATTTCTATAAGAAAAATGTACACTATGGTCCTAAATGTCTTATAAACGTTTACAATCAAGCCATTCAAAGCTGTAATGAAGTAATCTTTCAGTTTTATTAAACATTCTTGGGATTTAAGAAGGCCTTTTCTGATAACTTAAAAGTGAATATAATTTTCCTCTAGTTTTGTAGAGGCTACAGTGTCAAACCTTAAATGAATACACAGTAATTCTGTTTTTGTGGCAATGAACAGTTCTTCTATATCCTCCCTAAACAAAATCTGCTGGATGTTAAGACAACTCAATTTTGACACTGAGATAAAGTTTACTAACTTACCCCCACATTTTCTTTTTGTATTTTTCTGCCAACTTCAGAAGAACTTCCAAATAAGAATTTCTGCCTGCAGCTCCTGAGTTACAGAAATAAAATTTCTTAATGGTAAAAATAAAGCAGTCCATAAAATTAATCCACTTAGGCCACAGAAAAGATTTCTATGAAAAATGGATTTCTGTTCATATTACCAGTATCAAGAATGTGGGGCAACACAGCCACAACACAGAGCTGATGGTCTTCACAAGTCTTCTTGGCAATGTCCTCATTAATTATCTAAGGAAACCCAGAAGACAAAAAATGATTTCAAGTACTGTTTGAAGGGTACATGACAAACCACCACCCAACCAAAAACTTAGCACTGTCATTTTCACTGAAGAAAGGCATAGGCTTTTGCCAAGTAATGCTTCTCATGTACATTAAGGAAATAGTAATGCTCTGTGAAAGATGCTTACATCATCAGGATAATCCCATTTAAAACTTTTTCCTTCTAGCTGAAGATGTAACAATGGAGAACCTGATGGGCGTCCTGACAGCAGAGAGCAGCTGAGAGGCCCAGTAAAGGCACCTGCCTGGCACAGAAGTCATCTGCCCACCAGAGACGTTGCATCTGTTGGTCACTAGAGAAGGGCAGTGGTGCTGGCTAGGAAGAGTCTTAGTGCTTATCTGCTTCATGACCTTTTTAACTCTAAGAGCTATCCTGACCAGAAGATGTCCTACACTGAAAAAGGGAAGATGCACTCTCCACTTCAGACCCACTTTCAGATCTTGCCTGTGTGCTCCCTGACACTGATCCGGAGTGGTTCCTGTTACTTTCAAGTTGATCCTGAACCTGAATTGTAGCCTGTTACTTCCCTAATTGGAGTCTTAGTGTGGTGTTTGTAGGATAAGCATTTGACCGCAGGTCAGTTTGAAATGCAAGGTCAGCTGTTCAAACTCACCATCTGGTCCTCAGAAACCCTATACAGGGTGACTATGAGTCAGAACCAACTTTATGGTGCTTACTAAACTTCCTCAATAAACCACTGCAACTAGTTAGAGAGCACAACAGAGAAGTAGAGAGTGCCATGAGGGGGAATGACTGGTGACGGAAATAATGGGGACTTATAAAGGTAGTGATATACCCAAGTTCTGCCTCACAGGCACCAGCTTTGTGCTGATCCTGATTCCTATTCCTCATGAATTTGGACAATTCATTTTGCTCTATTACAATACACATACATAATCTCTTAAATCTCTCTCTCTCACACACACACACACAATTCTGACTGGGGTGGTGGTTATGTGCCATAGAGTCAGTTCCGACTCATAGTGACCCTAATAGGGTTTCTGATGCTATAAAATCTTTACGGGAGCATAAAGTCTCATCTTTCTCCAGCGGAACGGCTGGTAGTTTTGAACTGCTTGTCTTTTACATGAATGAGGAAATCACTTCAGCAAGCCCTCCATATCTCAGTTTCCTCATATGCAAAAACAGGGATAAAAACAGAATCTACTACCAGCACGGAGTGGCTACAGGAACAAAAGATATTTCTTGAAAGAAAGAACTTCAGGAAAACAAAAACAAAATATGGTAGGCTGTTTGGCTATTATAAGCACAAGCAAGCTAGTTTGCTGGGGAGCCATCAAGACAAGTAATCAAGTTCCTTCAGGACAAGCTCCTCTCCAAGACAGAAAGTCAAAGGGAACACATAAGCAGGCATGTAAGCTCACTGGCAACCACGCTGGTCTACTGGTGAGTGGAAGTGGGGAAAAGGCAGTAATGAAGTATGGAAGTAAGGTTCCATAGACTTCTGTCGACCTTGAGATAAAAGAGAGAAGACGAAAGGCTAGTTGGTCCGAAGTTTGGGGAGACATGGACACTGAGCTAGCCACGGAGGGCTAGAGCTTAGGGTAAAGCAACCAGCTATTATGAAGTGGGGGAGGCACTAAAAAATGCCCATACTTGCAGATAGTATCCATTTGACCTAGCTTTGATGGCTTGGTGATCAGAACTCGACTAGAGGAAAATAAAGACATTTGATACAGGAAGCAAGAGCAAATTGCTACAATTTCATGAACTTGACCTATACTTACGGATGTAGTAGCTCAAAATACCTACCAAGAGGAAAGGAGTCTTCACATCAAGGATCAAGCCTAGCCCCAGTGTAATCAGGGCTGACATAGACACTGGCTACCTAAAATGGAGGGGACTATAAAAGCAAGACTTGATGATGGGCTTACAAGTTTTCAAGAGGGAATTTAGAGTGTGCGGGGACAGCTTTCATTTTGTCTAGATGGTTCTGGTGTAAGGAGATGCGGATAGGATTCTTTTGAGTCAAGAGTAATTGTTATCATGACTAACTGTGATTGCCACAACTGTGAAGGTATAAGTTGTACAACAAAAAGGGGGAAGTAGTCAATCTTATAATCCAGGAACAGAGGACCCTAGGACCATCAAGAGAGAAGAGCATGAGCAGAACGTGGGACCCTATCCAGAGAAGCAGCGACACCAGAGATGGAGGCAGAGAGAAAGCAGCTGAGGACTCTAGGCTCCTGCTGGCAGCCTGGAGGCTGGCTTGCAGAATGTGCCCTCTTGGCTATTTAAACAATTATATATTCCTACCTGTTTCTGTGTATATGAAAAACCAAAACAAAACAAAAAACAGGTAATAGATACAAATACTGTTAACCAATGATTCATGGAGGGGATTGTAATCATTGCAATGAAACAAAATATGGTAGGTTGAGTGCAAAAATCGATGTTCTCCCATGGAAACTATTACTCAATTCACAAAAGCTTTAAAAAAAAGAAAGAGAATCTACAATTTTTTCATGTAAATGAGAAAAAAAAAAAAAAACTATGTAAAAACACCAGAACACTTTATGTCTATGTGCACAATTGTTGTTAAGTACCATTGAGCCGATTCCAACTCATAGCTACCTTGTATAGGGTTTCCAAGGAGTGTACAATAAACACTATAGCTTAAAATATATTATCAGGATTGTATATACTTTCACCATACTTGCTCAATTTGTATGCTGACAAACTAATCCAAGAAGCAGGACTATATGAACTGATTTGATGGCACTTAACAGCAACAACAACCAAGTGTTATAAAGCAATTACATCACTAGGGTTTAGATGCATATGCATGTGAAAGAAGTTCTGGTGGTGCTGTAGGATAAGCACTAGATTGTTAACCACAAGGTCAGTGGTTGAAATCCACCAAAGACTCTGCAGGAGAAAAATGCTCCTGTAGAGTTGACTTCACGGCAGTGAGTTTTTAGTTGATCATATGCAAACAGAAACTGGACAATGAATAAACAAGACAGATGAAGAACTAATGCATGTAAATTACGGCATTGGGAAGCATATTAAATATGTCATGAACTGTGTGAAGAACTAACAAATCTGTCTTGGAAGACATACAACCAGAATGCTCCTTAGAAGCAAGGATAGCAAGACTTTATCTCACATACTTTGGACACGTTATCAGGAGAGATTAGACCCTGGAAAAACACATCATGCTTGGTAGAGGGTCTGTGAAAAAGAGGAAGCCCCTAGATGAGACAGATGGATACAGTGGCTGCAATATGGACTCAAGCATAGGAATGATTGTGAGGATGGTAAAGGACAACCAAACACTGTGAAATGTGTTCTGCTGTACATGGGATTGCTATGCAACACAACCGATTCAACATAACCTAACAATAACAGATACATTTTCGCTCATAGTACAATCAGATTCCTACTCCCACCCTACCCCCCATTTGAAAGTTATCATTTCACTATCTCCCACTGTCAGACCAGGAAAGCTTTCCTTACTACATACGATTTACGTGTTTACCTCCAGCAGCTCAGGAGGTGGAGCGTTATCAGAAAACAAATCTAAGGCCCGTGACACTATGTTGGATTTTGTCCGACCACCATCATAATCCACAGGAGACTCGCCTTTCTGAAAAATCTTGATTGTAGGAAATCCTCTAATCTATTAAAGCAAACAAACACCAGAGTACAAAACCAACATTTAATAAAGACAACACAATCTTTATTGTTCCTGAAATTACCTTATAGGAAATTTAACAAATATACCCCAGGGTAGTGTCAATAAGGGAGTCTTTTAACAGAACAAATGGATGGATTTTCAAAAGGCAGAAGAGAAACTTGTAAAAGAGAAGGCGAACTGAGTTACACTAAGTACACAGTAGAAGTAGTGTGATTTAAAAACAAAAATATAATAGCCCTGAGTTCCTACCTCATACATTCACCCTCCTACTCATAGGGAGGCCAGGAATACAAATGAGGAAACATTAAAAATATATGTGCATTTTACAAAGAAATGAGTTTTATAAATATACTCACCTCGTATCGGTTGGCTAGCATCTGATTAGCTGTAGCATCTACAGCTGCTAGTTTCACTTTTCCTTTCGTTTGCTCTTTTACCTCAGTAGCAGCAGCAGCCCATTCTGGCTCTAGGCTATAGAAAAAGATTTGCATTTTAAAAGTGCATTTTACCTTGCAGCAAATATACTGTAACAAATTTATATCACTTTCTGTCCAATTCAGATTTAAGTCACTCTTAGACACAATTCTGTATAGAGCTTTACAAAAATGTCACTGCTCTTTACATTTGCTTTCTAATCCTTCATTACTTTCCCCAAATCTAGATACTTTCCCCTTGTTAATTTTTACAAGTATGACAGAAGGAACTCTAGGCAATAACCTCAATAGGTAACTTGAGTCACTTTTTCTGGAAGCAATCTGGGGAGTTATCTATTACCTAGTTCAGTTTCAAAATGAACCAAACAAAAAGTTCCGTGACTTAAAAGATAATGTAGTAGTTAAGGTTTTGTGTCAACTTGACTGGGCCAGGATTTTCAGGGGTCTGATAGTTAAAACAGGATAATCTAATCCCCCAGGAGAGCTAATATAATGCAATCACTGCTAAAATGAGATCTGCTATGAGCTAGTCAATTGAAAGGAAGCTTCTTGGAGGTTGTGGCCTGTTTCCAATATACTGGACTCTTGGGCATAGCTTGTTTTATGTGTTCTTGCTGGGTCAGGACCCTTCATGTCTCATCATCTGACCTCTGGTTCTTTGAACTTGAGTCAGCAGTATGCTGTATTGCTCACCAATCCTAGGCATTGTCAGAACCTTGTTGTCTGACCTGCTAATCTTGAGTTCATGAACCCCTGCAGTTACGTGATTCAGAAGAAGCCTCCCACCTGACATCTAACTCACAGACTTAGAACCTGCCCATCTCTATAACTGTGTGAACCATTTCCTTGACATAAACCTCTACATATATATCTAGGGAGCTCTGCAAACTGCAAGGTCAGCAGTACAAACACACCAGCTACTCCACAGAAGAAAAATTAGACTTTCTGCATGCATAAAGATTTACTGCCTCGGAAACTGCTGGGTCAGAATCCACTCACGGGCAATGAGTTTGGTTTGAAAGTTTTAGTACATAAACATATGTAAGCTTCGCTGATTTTGCTTCTCTAAAGAACCCAGCTAAGACAGATAGATGACTTGGTTAAAAACACTTACTTTTTGCAATGTCCACACCAAGGAGCATAAAACTCAACCATCCAAACGTCTTCACTATCAAGGACATTTTTATCAAAAGTGTCATCTGTCAGTTCAATCACATCTTTCTTACTTGAACCTTCACTTCTGCCCTGTCATTTAAGTATAAGCAAAATTGAAAGTCACAATATGGCCACAAAGAACAGTATTTTAATTACAAATGTGTGGATGTGTGTCTTTAAAAACTATTTTACACCTTAAAAGAAGTTTTAGAATTTTTCTTCAAGTAAAAACTATTCAAATTGGAGGCATTCCTTAATATCATTTTTGCATTGTAAACAATCTAACATCAGTCAAAAGCAGTACATACAGCAGCAACACCTGTTTGCAGCACACCAGCTTTAGAAGCTGTACAGCTGAATGCACAAGGGGCTCCACCAATTGCCCCAATCCTTTCCACTGTAGCAGCTTGGCCAAAATGCTCAAGTGGAGGGGTCAATCCTAATGTTCCATCTGCCTTATAGTATAGTGGCAGGTCTTAGATGAAGCTGGGGTACACGTTGACATAGGAGCAGGAGCACAGCTCCTCTGTTGTTTTATGTCCACAGAATCTGTCAGACATATGGTCCATCCATATCTCCTGCTCTGTCGCATCAGAAAAAGATTCCCTTGACTCACTCATTGATGTTGCCGTATTTCTTCCACATGATACCTGCACTTCTCCTCCTAAGCTCCAGTTATTTTTGCTTTTTCAACTTTTGTTTTTGCAGATTTTCCCCGTACCAGCTCTTCTTGGAGCCTCACCAAATTCTGCCTCATTGGCATGACCTGGAGCTCATGGTGAGCAGCCTCCATCTCCAGCTTCCTTGATGTTGCAGTCATTTGGCCCCGTTGTTGCTTCTCCATTTCAGTGTCTCCCAACACATGGCATACTCACACTCAAGTTCCTTGTGAAACTACTGGTTCTTTATAACCAGCTTCTCTGGAAGAGCCTCTTTGTTATCCATTGTTCCAGGCTGCGGAAATATGGTTAGCAAAAAGGAGCCTTCTCTGTCTTTTCAGTGCCTTTCCCTGAGGCCCTTCCATGATCACCCACAATGACTACAGTCCTGTCTACTTGGTCCAACACACAGAAGGGCCTCCTTTAGCAGTGGCACTGTTGGTTAATGCACTGGACTGCAAAGTCGGTTGGAACTGCAAGGTAGGCGGTTCATTCTCACCAGCTGCTCCAAGAATCCCTATACAGGGTCACTATGGGTCAGAACCGACTCGACAGCACAACAGCAGTTCACAAGACATGTACTTAAGAAGGTTTCAAGACTGTAAGGGGCACGCTATTACAGACAGTGAAAATACAGCTGCTTTCCACAGAGGGCTGTGTTGTCCAACTTCACTTTTGGCAACCTCTGCTGGAGTTCATGCTTCTAAGCAGCTAAAATCAAAGCCCTTATCATTGTGACTGAACATCTCTCCTATCTTCCCACACTGTTCAAAGTTTCCTCATTTCTGCTTCAGTGATGTCAGAAGGAAGGTGGCCACAAGGAGACAGTGACACTGGGTAAAGTTCTTCTCTACTGGTTTCCTTAAATGTTTCAGGTCAATAGTCAAGCGTGTTGTCCATTTGCAGGTACTGGCCAGGCAGTGGCTACTGCTGCTATTACTACTGCTATTGGGAAAGCTGATAATGCTTCCTTGGAGTATGGCTTTTTTTTTGCTTCTCCAAGTTAAAAGTTTGAGAGCTCTGCATTTTTATTGTCACCAACTCTCCTTAGAGTAACAGCAACTCACCTACTGTTTTTCAGAAAAATTTTAATGTGGCTCAATAAACACTTTAGTAACACTGTTCTATTTTAGATGCAAGCATACTTGACACTTTCTCCCAGAATGTTATAAAGAACTACAATTACTATATTTTCAAAAAGTCATTAACATACAGAAAAGTTAAAAAATAACATTTAAATCATTTCTTTTTTTCAAAGAATTCTCTCAAGTACTAAATCTAAGAGCAGAAATATTACTACACTGCTTTCTGTTGGCTAGGCTAAAAGACACAGGGATTTAAAAGAGAGACAACAGTGGTCATTCAATGTCTAAACTTGAAATAAAAGAATTCTTTGGATGAACTCTGATCTACAGAAAGAAGCTAGTTTTCCTGGTTTCCTAAAAGAGTGAAGGGCCATCTCTCTCTCTCTCTTTCACACACACAATATAGAGAGAATTTAATGCTCGTTCACAAGAATATGTGTACCATGGTTAAGTATCACAATTTTCTAGAAGATTACCTAGAATTCCAATCCATGGAACAGGAATGTCTTTCTCACTCTGTTTTTCCCTACTCATTTATGTAGAATTTTCTATGGATTTGGAGCCAATTACTAGAGAAAGATAAAAGAATGTCCAAATTTCATTTCTATTCTGTCCTCTGATCCTCGGTCCCTTTACCTAGAGCTTTTTCTTGTTCTGCAGCCCCAGCTCTCCACTTCACCTGGGATCTAAGAAACCTCTTTGTTGGGTCTGATTTATGGCCTATAGTTCTAACACCATGGCCTGGGACTGATGATGGGCTCTGCCAGTGTTGACTCAGGAGGCCAAATGGGCAGGCTGGGTGGGTGACTGACTCTCTCTGGGACCAGCTGACCCAACCTCTATTATCTTTTAATGGAATGTTCACCAATTTAAAAGATAATATAAAAGTTTTTTTCATCATGTACCAGAAGCACACAATCAAGTTTCAAGAGATCACATATTAAAAATTTAAATGCTGCAGTCCTACCTGTTTTCCACCACTCCGTCCCCCCAGGCGATCCTTCACAAGCTGCCGCACAGCACTGAGAGCAGCATCCACAATGGCTTCGGCAGTTCTGCCGCCTACAAGAAAACAAAGGACTGTCAGGACAGAGTGATGTGTCCTCATCCTGCCTTCTGCATGTGCACTTAACTGACACATGTAAAGGCTTACACCTTTACATGTGCATGTCAGCTTTACCTGAGGGTCCAACAGATCGAATACATATGTATTATTAGCGCACACTATCACCAATATGCATTTGACACTGGGAAAACTAATTACTCTTCTGTTTGTTGATGTTGATATGTGCCATGGAGTCGGTTCTGACTCATAGACCCTGTACAGGGTTTCTGAGGCTGTAAATCTTTACTGGAACAGAAAGCCTCATCTTTTTCCCGCAGAACAGCTGGTAGTTTTGAACTGCTGACCTTGTAAAGTCTTGAGAAAGACAGAAAAATCAGTCACAGTGAAGATTTTACTATCAACAAATCTGTTGAAATCTACAAGAGAATATAAACCATCAAGCTCTTCCCTAACAATGCAAAAATCAAAGCAAAAATGCCAAAACTCTACATATGTGAGAGTGCACTGTTTAAAGCGCAGTTTTACTCTGCACTTGTATAGTTGTCTTGAGTTGCAATTGACTCAATGGCAACTAATAATAGGATAAGGTATACATGCCAAACACTGCAGAATGCCTGCAATACACTCTACAGTTTCCAGCATTCTTTGCACCCAATAGTAAGCATGTGACTAATTTCTGACTAAAAGGGTGTGAGGAGAAGGGTGAATGCCACTTCTGAGACATATCCTTCACTTCCCTTTTCCTGATGGCTGCATTGAGGACACAGTGGATGTAGTTGCAGTTTGATCTTGAACAATGAGATGGCCTATCCATAATTATACTGACTGTAAATGGATTCAATGTACCAGTCAGGACACAGAGAGAACAGAATGGAAAACAAGATCCTTCAATATGGAGACAGCTTAAATGTCCAACAACAGAAGAATCGTTAAACACATTTGGTATGTGATGGCTGTGTGCAGTGGAGTCAGTTTCGACTTATAACAACCCTGTATAGGGTTTCCGAGGCTGTAAATCTTTACGGAAATAGAAAGCCTCATCTTTCTACTGCGGAACCTCGGTGACCAATTGCTGAGTGAATTAAGTCAACCCAAATGGGCAATACTATTGAGACTAATGATGTAAAAGAAACAATCTATGATGGGGTTTTTAAAGGCTCCTCGAAAAATTCCAGTTACCTTGTTTTTAAATCTTTTTATTGTGAATTAAGTGAAGGTTTGCAGAAGAGATCATCAGTTTTACATTCAGCCGTCATTTTTCTGTGTGTTCTTGTGGTGCTGCTGTTTTCTCTGTTCCACATAATTTTCTGTACTAAGTTCAATTTTGTTTGTGGATTTTCCTTTCATTTTAATCTTTGTTGTGTTAATGTTTACTAAATCTTTCTGATTTTCCTTTTTTTATTTTGATGTGCAGGTGTATTCATTTTCAGGGTAAGTTACAGGTTACGCTATAACTTCTTAAATTTTCTCCCTATTTAAAAGTCAGAGTCCTGGTGTGGCACCGCAGGATAATGCACTGGATCACAAGATCAGTTTAAACCACAAGGTCTGCAATTGAAACCCACTGGCAGCTCTTTGAAAACTATACAGGGTCACTTTGAGTTGATGGCACTTAACATTTATAAGTCTGTTTTATCTTGATATCTACTTGACTTCCTTGCCATTTGAAGTTCTGTATCTACGCTATTTCTTTTTGTATTTTCAGTCTTATAGGTTTGCTTTACTTTAAATGCTTCCATATCTGAATTGACTTCTGGGTGGTGATGTCACGTATGGTAATCTCAAGCTGTTGTCAGTTTCTCAGTCCAAAGAAAACCCTTGAGAATTTTTTGTAAAATTGATCTAGTCATTATAAATTCCTTTAATTTCTGTTTAATAGGACAAGTCTGAATTTTGCCTTTGCATTTCGCCTTTTCTGGGCGATTCTTGGTTGGCAATTTTTTTCCCTTTCAGTTTTTGTATGTTACCCCATCACCTTCTTGCCTGCATGGTTTCTGTTGAAAAATCAGAGATTAGTTTTATTGGGTCTCCTTTGTATATAACTTTTCATTTTTCCAAAGGTTACTCTCAGGATTCTTTCCTTGTCTTTGGTTTTGGAAAGTTTGAGTATGACATGTCTTGGTGATTTTCTTTTGGGATCCATCTTGTTTGGGGCTCATCTAGCTTCTTGTAAGCTTGTTTATTTTTCTCATCTTTTATGATGTTAGGGAAGTTTTCTCCCAACAACTCTTCGACAGTTTCCTCTGGGGATTTCTGCAAGTCAAGGAGCTCACAAGGTGGGTGTGGGAGGGATGAGACAGCAGAGTTCCTAGTCCTAGATAGAGTTCCTATTGGTTTCAGTGTTCTCTATGTTCAGGGAACTCAATCCAGAAGCAGTTCATGGAGGCCCTTGGTGGAACTGGTTCCAACGTCTGTTAGGATCACAGATCAGTGGGGGCTTGATTAACCGCTACACTATGAAAACCGGGTTTATAGTGATTGTTAGGAGAAAAACCTAGCGAATGGTTTCTATAAAGGTTGTTGTTGTTGGTTCTAACTCATAGTGACCCTTTATAGGGTTTCCAAAGAGTTCATCCCAGAGCACCATACCAGGATTCAGCCAAGAAAACACTATGGGGAAATTCTATTCTGTCATATGGAGTTTTTGAGTGGAATTAACTCAACAACACCCAATAGTTACAAAGGCCAAATCTCCAAGTATTTTGACCCCTAGCTTAGAGATGCACAAAATCAAGCAGTATTTTTCAAGTTTATTTCTCGTTTTATGTGTAAGATTTCAGTTAAACTTCTAGTGGCCTAAAAATAGGTTTTCACAACCCCATTTTATAGATAACAGATCCTGAAAGACTTAAGTAATTTTGTTTCAAAGCCAAGAGTGTAGTGAAGCCAGCGGTTAAGCACAGGCTGGTATTCATACAATATATATTCTATACTCCCTTTACTTTCCCAAAGTTTTCCTATCAGCTGGTTACAAGACAAGATATCACAGAATAGATAATAAACTATTTCACTGTAATGCTAATACTACTCCCACAAACGTGTACTTCTCATATACAGCAAAATTAGAATGTTAAGACTCTAAGTTCACTCACTTATGGGTCCCATGAGACAAAATCACGTTAAAAAAAAAAAAATCTAACTAGCCATTACTTAAACTTTAAATACATCATTGTTATTGTTAAGTGCTGTCAAGTCTGTTCCTAGCCATAGCAACCCTGTATAGGGTTTCCACATTGTAATTCAAACTGACCTTGTGGTCCAGTGCATTATCCTGCAGGGCCACACCAGGACTCCATATACATCATACCCAATATTTTTATTTACAAGTGTGGATCTAGCTCAACTCAGCAATTCTTATCTTTAATATAATGACCTGTTTGTTGTTCTTAAGTGCCGTCGAGTTGATTCTGACCCACAGCGACCTGTATAGGGTTTATGAGGAGCAACTAGTGATCTTGAACTGCCGACCATGCAGTTCAAACCAACTTTGCAGTCCAGCATATTAACCCACAGCACCACACCAGGACTCCTTGAATGATCTGTTTGGGGTATCTTAAATAAGGCTTTTCTATAAAAGAACAGTGTGACTGAAATAATGTTTAATTTTGGGAGCCTGGAGCCATAATACAATCATCTACCTCAGTAACTTACACAGCAGACACTCACAATTTACATATATACAAAATAGGGAGAATTACAGATGTATTTTAAACTGTTTGAACAATAACCTTAATATCAGACGTGACACTGTAGCATAAACACTGGACTGCTAAGCATAGCTTAGCAGTTCAAATCCACCAGCTGCTCTGTGAGACAAAGATGAGGCTTTCTGTTCCTGTTTAGAAACCCTTTGGAGGGTCACTATGAGTCAGAATTGACTAAATGTCAGTGATTTGGGTTTATATGTTGACAAGGTATAACAATTCAAAGGCAAAACATTCCACAGAAATATCAAGAGATGATTTAGGAAAAAAAAATTATAGATCTTTATTAAATACTAAGTAATTATAATGAAAGGAGTTCTGGTGTGGCATTGTGGGCTAATGTACTGGACTGCAAAATCGGTTTGAACCACAAGGTTAATGGTTCAAGCTCACCAGCCACTCCATGGAAACCCTGTACAGGGTCACTATGTACTCGACGGCACTTAACAACCACAATTATAAATGAGACAGACAAGAGGGAATCAAGGAACACTATTTCTGTCACTGCTTAAGGTTGTGTGGGCCACCTAAAGGAGTGTAATTAACCAAACCTTTACTTGTATGATACATATTTTATTTAATCTTCAGAACAACTGAGAAGAGTTAGGAATGCTCTATACCATTTTATATATAAGTTTAGGTGCAAAGAGACTGAGAAACTTGAAGGTAGCAGAGCTAACAAATTATAGGTTCTTTCCTATTTTTTTATGTGCTGCTGCTCAAATGACAATTTCACCAAGTGAATGGAAAAGAAATGTGCTTACCCTGATAATCTTCAGGTCTGTTTTTGTTGGAAGAAAAAATCTTGATGGTAGGAAATCCCTGAACACCATACTGACCTCCTAAGGACTGATGTTTATCTGCATCAACTGCACCAACTTTTACAACACCCTGTAGAAATATTAATGAAATCATTTATTTTGCTCTCAATTAGAGCATATTCCATGTCAAGTGATTCATGTGACCTCAGATACAACATGATCAAGGGTAGGTTAAGTTTAACACAGTTTTAATTTGGTTTTAGTTTGGGAAACAATAAAAAATGCATTTTAAAACAGAATAATGGGTGAAATGCAAAACAGTCCAGGGAAGGAACTCCGCAACTTCCAGAACTGAGGATGACTAAAGAGTCATTTGTCATAATTAATTAACATAATTAACAAAACAGACAACATAAAACCCAAAATGTCTATAATCCTCCTGCTTTCTATGATTTTGATAACTGAAGAAGAGTTCTGAGCCTTGATATGTAGATTGTTGTTGTTATGTGCTGTGGAGTTGGTTCCGACTCATAGTGAGCCTATGGGTTTCTGAGGCTGTAAATCTTTACTAGAGCAAAAAGCCTCATCTTTCTCCCATGGGACAGCTGCTAATTTCAAACTACTGACCATGAGATTAGCAGCTTGATTCGTAACCACTACAATACCAGAGCTCCTTCGATATGTGGATTAGCAACTTTGTATTAAGTGCTGTTGAGTTGATTCCAATCCATAGTGACTCTGTACAGGGTTTCTGAGGTTATAAATCTTTGCAGGAACAAAATGCCTCCTTTCTCCTGAGGAGCAACTGGGTGGCTTGAACTGTTGACTTTGTGATTTACAGTCCACTGCTTACTCTTATTGAGCCACTATACTCCCAACTAACTTCTTATTACACATTAGATGTATACATGAATAGATACGCTTGCATATATCTTGTAAACAAATAAGGAACCCTGATGGCTTTAGTGGGTTATCTGTTGGGCTGCTAACCACAATGTCTACAGTTGGAATCTACCAGGCATTCGCAGATTATGAAGCTTTTTGCTAAAATATTTACAGCCTTGGAAACTATATACAGGGTTCGCTATGAGTCAGAAGTGACTCCACAGCACACAACACAGTCAGCCAGCCACCAGCAAACATATATGGAATTCGAACATCTTAGAAACTTACTTTTAATGCAGTGGCTACTTTCTTCCATTCTGGTGTTAACCTTTGACAGTGGCCACACCTTTTAGGAGATAAAAACAAAACAAAGCAACAGTTAAAATCTTTGATGCCCAATTTTAAAAACACACACAAATTCACTGCTTAATTAAGTTGTTTAAACAAACTGCTATCCGTTTGGAACACTATATAAGAAGTTGAGTATCTAATCCAGTCCACTGTGCCTTGATGGGCGGTTCAAGTCATAACACTACGCAAACTACAGGTCTATTTATCCCATGATATCAGAGTTCCTAGAAAGGGGTCCACAGTTTGTCATACTTTGGTGGTTTGCATGTTGCTGTGATTCTGGAAGCTATGCCGCTGATTTTTTAAAAACCAACACGGTCACCCATGGTGGGCAGGTTTCAGATATGCTTACAGACTTAGATAGACTAGGAATAAGACAGACTAGACCGACAATTTCCAAGCATTTAGTCACTGAAAAGCTTATGAACAGCAGTGGAACACTGTCAGCACTAGAATACGGAATATTGAAACATGCTGAAAAGCATCAGAATATTGGCAGATATAGTGCCGAAAGATGACTCCTCAGGTTGGAAGGCATTCATAGTAAGTCTGGGGTAAAGTTGACCATAATGGCGCAAAAGGAATAAACTTCAGGGACCTTCATTTGCTAATGGGGCACAACTCAAAATGAGGAGAAATAACTTTAAACACGGAATGTATGAAGTATGAATCTATAAAAATTGAATGTTTTCAAAAATGAAATGGAATGCATAAACATCAATAGCCTAGGCATTAATGAGCAGAAAAGGATTGGTATTTGATATTTTAAATCTGACAATCATGTAAGATTTTCTAGGCTGGGAATGACAAATTGAAAAGGAATGGCTTTGCATTCATCATCAATAAGAACATTACAAGATCTGTGTTGAAATATAATGCTGTCTGTGATAGGATACTACCCATATACCTGCAAAGAAGACATTAATACAAACATTATTCAAATTTACACACCAACCACTAAAGTCAGTAATTATGAAATTGAAGAATTCTATCAACTTCTTCAGTCTGAAATTGATAAAAAAAATGCACTCAAGATGTATAGGTAATTACTGGAATTTGGAATGCACAGGTTGGAAACTTAAGAGGAATGATCAGTCGTTGGGAAATATGGCCTTGATGATAAAAACACTGCTGGAGATTACATGATAGAATTTTGCAATATCAATAATTTAAATACCCTTTTTAACAACATAAAGGATGAATATACACATACACCTCACCAGATGGAAAAACTTCGTATCATCAAGCAAAACAAGGCTAGCAACAGATTGTGGAATAGATCATCAATTTAAAAGCTCATATGTAATTTTAGGCTGAAACTGAGGAAAAAATTTAAAAGTCCAAGAGAGCCAAAATATGACCTTGAACATCTCTCACCTGAATTTAGAGATCATCTCAAGAACAGATTTAATGAGTTAATGACCAAAGACCAGAAAAGTTGTGGGATGACAAGAAGAATATCAAATAGGAAAAAAGCAAAAGGTCATTAAGACAAAAAACAAGCAAAAGAACAAAATGGATGTCAGAAGAGATGCTGAAACTTTCTAGAGCAAATGGAAGAAATGAAGGAAGCAAAAGAGCTGAACAGAAAATATCAAAGGGCAGATCGAGAAGACAAGTCAAATATTATGATGAAATGTGCAAAGATCTGGAGTTAGAAAACCAAAAGGGAAAGAACAAGCTGAACGTTTCTCAAGCTCAGAGAACTACGAGAAAAATTCCAGCTTCGACTTGGAATATAGAGTTTTGGGTTGTGGCGGTGTAGCACTGGACCACAAGGTTGGTTTGAACTGCAAAGTCAGCAGTTCAAATCCACCGGCACCTCCTTGAAAACCCTATACTAAGTTGCTTAGTCACAACAGCACTTAACAACAGTAGCAACCACGCCTCTGTAGATTCAGTTTATTCTATGACAGCATTTGGATGCTAATCAAAAGATTAGTGGTTTGAACCTGAACCTCCAAGTCACTCCACAGGAGAACGATGTGGCAGTTTGCTTCCACAGAGAAACTTGGAAACTCTATGGGGCAGTTCTAGTCTGTTCTACAGGGTCCTTGTGAGGTGGAGTTGACCTTCATGGCAACAGGTTTGGTTTAATTTGGTTCCCATGAAATGACTAAAATCAGATAAAGTACACACTCCCTCAGTTGCAATAAGAATGCTGAAAATATAAACAAGAGGGGGCTTTAAAAATTTCATGCAAAAATTCCATTTTTATCACAAGCTTTTTAAAGCCGCTTCATGTAGCATGGTTGGTTTTAACCACAAAGTTGACAGTTCCCACTCACTAGCCGCTCCTCGGAAACAGTATTGGAACCAACTTGACAGCTCTTAAAAACACACAACATACAGCATACTTCTACACTTAAACTGATCGTCATGAATCCAATTCCCACCAAGATTCAGTCCTCACCTTCTTATACCTTCCTCTCCAGCCACTCTGACCAGCACTCTAACCCATCCCGAGCCGCCCAAGACCAGGTCATCTCAGCTCTGGCATCCCAAGACCACCAGGTCAAGGAGTGCCAGCTACAGACTCAGGGGGATCTCCATGCCCTTTAAACTTTTATCCAGAGTAGCTGCCTATGCAGCCCTTCTCTGACACCACCCACTCTAAGCTGGTCAGAACACACAAGGTCCTTCAGACTGCTGAGTTTCATTGTCCCAGTGGAATGGTTCTGTAGAATTCATGGGGAATAACTATAATTAAAATTATCTATTTATTACAAAGAGACTCACAGGGCACCCTAGGGAGATACCACCCTCTGGATAAAGTACATGCCTTTGACAATCCAGGCAACCCAACCATTTCAGTGCTCAGGGCCTTTTACTGGTTTCATTGAATAGTCATGCCTTGGCTCTCATTGCATATGCATAAAATTACCTCATGGCCCCCTCCCTTCCAGAGGTTAGCTAATCAGGTGTGGTTTCTGAAGCTCCCACTCACTTGTATTAGCTTTAAGTGTTGCCTGGCTGTTTTAGAAAACAAAAGCAAAAACCCTCATTATCATGGAGTTGATCTCTACTTGGTTGCAGTACAGCACAAAGTCAAACTGGACCATTCAAGTTTCTAAGGCTGTAATCTTTACTGAGGCAGCCAGCTTTGTCTTTCTCCCACAGAGTAGCTGGTGGGTTCAAATCAAAGACCTTCTGGCTAGCAGTTGAGCACTTTAACCAAGGCACCCACCAAGGTTCCTGTTTAGAAAGCACCTTGATGGCTCAAGAAATTACATGTGCTATATTTCAGCCAGACAAGGAATAAGGAAGACCAAAGAAGAATTGGATCCCTTTAAATTAAGGTGTTGGCAAATAATGACCAAATAAATTTGTCTTCAGCCAGAATGCTCCTCAGAAACAAGGACAGTGAACCTTCATCTCATATACCGTGGACACGTTACCAGAAATGATCAGTCCTGAAGGACACCATGCTTGATGACGTGGAATGTTTGAGAAAAGAGAAAGACCCTCAATAAGATGAGCTGACACAGTGGCTTCAAGAGCTGTTAACTGTAAAGTCTGAACCCACCTGTGGCTCCATCAGGAAAAGCACTTGGCAATCTGCTCCTGTACAGATTAGTCAAGGACAGATACCCTATGAGGCAGCTCTACTATGTCACACAAGAGCACCATGACTTACAATCAACTCCAAGGCACCCACAAAACATCTCTCAGAAACCAAAGATGAAGGCCAAACTGAGGAAGACTCATTATCAACCTGAAATATGCAGATGATACAACCTTGCTTGCTGTAAGTGAAGAGGACTGAAAATATTTACTGATGAAGATCAAAGAGCACAGCCTTCGGTATGAATTGCATCTCAATGTCAAGAAAACAAAAATCCTCACCACTGGACAAATACACAACATTCTTATCAATGAAGAACAGATTGAAGTTGTCAAGGACTTCATTCTTCTT